GGTCCCAAATGGTTTTGGTATAGTTGTCATGGATACTTAGAAGACTTCCACTGGTGGTCGCGGTATTAAAGTTTTGATCGCCACGAGGGCGCCAAGACACTTAAAATAGAGCAGTGGTTGGAAGGCGGCCTGATGCGGAAGTAGGCGGCTTGTTACTCATCAGCACACGCTCTGGTCAGGCCTGTCACCCCGTGACATTTAAGCATTCTGCACTGTTATTATAAACCAATGGAATACGGTTCCATTCCTCAGCTTCTTGAGATGACTGTCTCAGGATCAAGGGGTGGGATAGCCTTTAGTCAAGTCCCTCGCGCCTATACCCGGACCATCCGGACACGTAACACACCCCGGATGCTGGCACGTAAAAAGACTAGCACCGTAGCGGCGAAGCCGCGAGGGCCTTTACCATCTCGTGGAGAACGCTTATGTTTTTCTTAACATTTGTCTACCGATTTGGTAGACATGCATAATGCATTACCCGTTGTGAATTGACCAATGAAAATGTAGAATTACTAACGTAAATCAGCCGTCGTCTGGCGCCAGTCAGCACTCGCGCGATGGCGCACGTGCTGTTGCTGGTAACCGCAAGCCACCGTTAGATGATTGGTTTATATTGCTTGGTTTATATTGCTTGATTTATATTACGTGAATAAATGAATAAGTAATTAGTTCCACGAGATAGTAAAGGCCCCCGGGGCTTCGCCGCTCTTGCTAGTCTTTTTACGTGCCAGCATCCGGGATGCGTTACGTGTCCGGGTAAGCGCGTGGGACTTGACTAAAGGCTAGGAGTGGGGTGGCATGGATCCCCCCGCTCAAGGCCTGGACACCATTATGCTCTCCCCCCAGTCAGCCTTTGAGGTGAGCAATATTAGGCTTTTTGTTTAAAACCCATTGATTGCCCCTCCCCGAAAGCACTCCCAAAGGGCGCCATTCTCTACAAATGAAACCCTTGGTGTACACCACTGATAGGCAGGGGCGTAGCGAGACTGATTTGAAGGAGTGGGGGGGGGGGGGGATGACAATAAAATGCCGACAGACCCTCTGTGTTGTAAGGTAGAGGAGTTTCTTTTCCGGTAAGCCATTCATCGCTTAATCATATCATATGCATGTAGTGGGGTGGGGTTGGAGTGGCGGTGGGGTGGGGGCCGGGTGGGGTGGGGATAGGGCTGGACACCATCTGACCGTTGTAGGCGCTCTTCGTTGCAGCGTGGCCGATTTGCCGAACAAATCTGGATAGCTCGTAGGCCTTCCGAGATGTTCAAAGACGAGATGTACAAAGAAGTGAAGCTAGCTATGCACTGGTTCCCGATCCCTCCATTCGAATGTGGGGAGGGAACAGTCTCAACCGCTCCCATTGTTCAATTGAATAATTAAAATACAGTGGTTTGAAAGTACACAATACTTTTTTCTAAACAGAAATTTTATATAAAAGATATTTTGTTGCAATTTTTTTTGAAAGCATTGATGTGAAAATCAAAATTTGACAAAGTTCTACATTTTCGGGTACATGTTCCAAGTGTGGCCTTTATTTACGGAAGTAGTCCAGTAAATTGGCCACATTTATGGGGCTAGACTTGAGGGCGCTGTGTAAGATTAACAGTATAAACTCCAATATCGACGATGTCGTTGAGCCTTAACTAACCAAGTGCAAATCGGACCACATTAAACAAAATTGATTTCCTAGGAACTGTAGAAAATGTACATCCCCAATATCTACCAGTGTTACCTTTTGTCTTGATTCAGTGTTAGGCCAAAAAAAGTTCCGCTTCCGATAACATGGCATTTGAAAATAGGGTAGGTAGGTAGGGAATTTTTTTTTTGGGCCAAATTTGTGTGTGTGTACGATCATATGGAGGCGTCTGCGTGTAGTCAAGGGTAAAAGGTAGAAATTGATGGTTTTGTTTTGTTTTTCTCATTTTCCCATGAACAAATTAGGGTAGTGGCTGTCAGAATAGGGTAGGTAAGGAAACCGGAAGCAGAACTATTTTTTTTTCTGGCCTTGGGGTTTTTCCAATAGTGTGTATACTGTCTTTAAATGCAAGATACAATATTTAATATCTAATCCTATTAAAATATCACAAAACAGACCCAATAATACACATGTACTCACGCTTTATGAGCAGACTCTTTCTTTTATAAACACACTTTCATTTGTGTTTCTTTGAGCATGCATGTTGTTCAGCATTGTAGAGCAGCACAGGAAAGGAAGAAATAAACACAATGTTGCTGCTCCAAGATGAGACAATGACTACATATATGAGGCATGACCCAATTATCAACAATGATATGCACAGAATGAAAATGGACACTGTAATATAGACTACAACATCATATACAAGTTTATTGCTCTTTTATCAATTACAAAATCTTAACATTGTGTCAGAAATATGCATAGGTCAACATGATACATCTTTAATAAACTCTGGATTAAAACAAAAGAAAATCTTCCAGTTCTATGACTGTTTAAAAGTTATCAAATATAGAATTGCATACGGAGCCCAGGAAGGGACAAGGTGAGAGAAAAAATATCTCAAACAGTAACATAATGTTTCCGTTAGTAGTTGTTCATTTGCGCATGCCCCCTCCAAGGCTCTGTAGTGGTGCAACAAATTGGTGCAAACGGTTCAAAAGCTTAAGATTATCTGCAATATACAGAATAATGGGAATGTCATAAATGTTTCCATGTCTATGGATCTGTTTATATTACATCAATATTGTATTATTATTGTCTCTAGTAGGCATTTCAAAATATTCATAAAATATAATTTCCACTTCAAATCTTTCAATTGAGCATTAGAGTATTTCATAAAATTCTGTTTACACTTCTTATATTGTCACAGTGTATGTATCAAAAATCAAAAATATGGATGCTATGGAAATTTTCATTGTTTGTACATTTATATACATAACCAAAATATATATTTTAATTATAAAACTTAATACAAAGAGAAAGTCTTTCTTGGGTAAAAAAAGAACAAAATACAATGTCGGTATGTGAGTTATTGCATATAAATTGTGAGCAGGAATTTCAATGCAAAGTGATGGGTAATGGCAAACCTCACTAAGAAACTTCAATCAGTGACGTCATGAAATTCACTTCTCTTTTGCTCTCGCATGAAGTATGAACCGGCATAATTCGATATTAACCTCAGCACCCCTCAGATGAAACCCTATGGACTAAGGGTCTACAAATTGTGGTACCCCATACATCCCCATATATAGATGTGTGTGTAGTCATATTCACTAGTTGCTACGCCAATGAGGCTGCTAGGGCTTTGGTGTCTCTCTGTTGGTATGTGTGTTCATCCATTTAACAGCTGAAGAGAGAAATTGTTTTGGATTTCCAGAGGGGTGGAAACCCCGTTGAGCCTATGAAACTGGGATATGGTAACTGAATATACATGTCAGTACTTGGGAACAATCATTGATAATCGTCTGGTCTGGAATGCTAACATATCAAACATGTGCAAAAAGGCCAAACAAAGAATGCTTTTTGCAAGGAAACTGAACTTTTTAGTGTAGATGATACCATTCTGATGTTATTTTATGGTAGTCCAATTCAGTCCATTATTACTTTCTGTTGTGTCGTCTGGTTCCATTCACTTCATGTTAAGGGCTGTAAAAAGACTGAGCATGTGACCAAAATGGCCTCTAAGATCACTGGCTGTGATATTCTGGACAAGACACTACATACCAAGTTTGAGCAAATGAAGAATGATTCTTCTCACCCACTGAATTCATTTGTTATCGTTAACCAATCTGATAAGGTCCGTCAAATTGTCACTAAGACTATAATCTTTTTGGAATTCATTCTTACTCAGGAGTGCAATGTCTACAACTCCAGCTTCCAACAATAATCACTCCAAAAGACCCTGCATGCTTTGTTTGAGTGGAATGCCGCTATACAACAAACATCGCCGGATCCAAAGCAATTGTTCGTAAAAGTGATAGTTTGGCGGTATAGTGAATTTAAGCTGCCGGTGCTCTGGTATTCACTTTTCAATAAATAGCGCCCTTCAGAACTTCACCCTGCATGCCCTGGTAGTTACTGGAAGACGACTTTGAACACGTGCCGACTATTGAATTATGTAATTACACAGTTTTGAGCTTACTACCTACAGCACTGGGTGGCTTTCCCCTTCTATTCCTTGCAAAAATAATAGTCACTTGTCGCTCTTCTGTTGACATTTTCAACAACAATGTTCGATACATTTTGTACACAAAAATCAGGAGCCAAGGATGATGTTCGGTATAGCCGAATGTTCGGTATAGCGGTGTTGGTATAGCGATGTTCCACTGTACATGTATGTAACTGTATTTTAACCATCTGAAATTTTAATGCATTCTAATCTTAAGAGTATTTTTGAATTTTTTTAAGCACTGGAAGTGGAGAGCTGTGGACCAATGGTTAAAGTGTTCGACTCACGTGCCATGGCACGTGGGTTCAAACCCCGACGGGGAACATGGTACTTGTGTTCTTGGGCAAGACACTTTACTACAGTTGCCTCTATCCACCCAGGTGTACAAATGGGTACCTGTGAAGGTAGAGACCAGAATGCGCTGATCTCGAGCTGCTGCAGAAACTGGTCTCATGGCCTGATGAACAGGGGTAATAATTGTAAATAGTAATTGTGAAGTGCTTTGAGACCCTTGGTATAAAGCGCTATATAAGCACCACATTACACAGGTATATTACGTGTTTTGTGTTTGTTGTTTTTATTAACATTACTGTGTATTTGTAATGTAATTAACCTATCGCGTTAGAATCGCGTCAATGCAGCTTGTTGAATATTGTCCAATTACGTAATATACAAATGGACACGAAACGCACAAAATCTGAGACAAACAAAACTTCACCTACAAAATTCCATAGAGTTGTCTAAGGGGCGTGGCTAACTCGCAAGCGGCGATAGGTCAATTGTAACTCTACCTGAGTTTTTGGTGTAATTGTTCATGTATAGTGAAATAGAATTTTAAACAATGTTTATAACTGAGGAAGATAATTTTCCTGCATCTTTTAATGCCTGACTAAGACAATTATTTTATTCCATTCTATACATGTACTATTCTATTCTACGTGTGTTTCTGTGGGTATCGTTTTTGAAAATTCTTGACAGTAAACAAAAAAATGTTGCTTCTGACTAAAAATGGATTAAGCCTGGCTTATCTCTGCCATAAACACTTCTATGTAGTATTGGCATAAAAACATGTACATGTACAAGTCAATACTAAATATGGTAAACTCAAGGATACACTGTCATGCTACCTTAATTCTTGTGACCGATCTTATCAATTAACAGGCTGTAACAGTCCACTACAATCATTGCTTGTGCAGAATCACTTCTACATCCTTTGAATTGATAATATAATATCAATGGTGGGAAACATGGGTTATATTACACATGGCCAATCTTTTCCCTCATTTCTAAATCAACAACTAAGACCTGCTTGCAATGATTGTGCATCATCCCCCCCCCCTGAAGTTCTACTATTTGTTTATTTTATATTATACACTGTATCAGTATGGCCGTATAGCAATTGTACTACATTTGTTTCATGCCCCATTCCATTCCCAAACATGTCAAATGTAAGTCATTGGGGCAATTCCAGTGTGATATAATGTCTGTGACAGAGCTTTTAAGAGCTCAGTGAATAAACCTGAAAATGTATTTTTTTCCAATCTTATACATCCATCATCTAGTAATGGTCAAGGAGATTGCAGACTAGGAGTTTTGGATCATTTCTCTGAATCATTAATGAGATATCCTGGTTAATTGGCTCTGTCACGGACATTTCACTTCCTTTCATAACGCTGGAACTGCCCATAGGTTAAAATCTAAATCATGTAGTCTCAAATGAAGTAACAGTAGACAGCAATATACCTGTTCAAGGCCATTGATATTTACTGTAATTGTTTGGGTCAACGTTGTCAGCCAGCTGGAGTTATCTGCTTCTATTTCTTCTTACCCTTGCCTTTGTCCTTGCCTTTCTTCTTGTCTTTGCTTTTGCGTTTGCCTTTGGACTTGGATTCTTTTTCACTGAAAAATGTCAAAAGCAAAATCACTTGTGAATTTGAAAGAAATGAAATTAAGCTTTTACTGAAACTAGACTGTACCGATTTAATACAATGGTGCTGGGAGTGATCTTACAATAGTACCAAACCTAGTGGGTACTTCCACTTACAAGAAAAAGTTATTAACAACTGGCTACCCAGAACTGGAGATGAAAATACAAGGAGAATCAGAAATTCTCAACCTGAGATTTGAGTTTTTAAAAGGAAGACAGATAAAATGGAGTTAAGCGCAGTAAGTTCTACAAAGTTGTTCCACACGACAACAAGCTATTGGCATAGCTCTTACTGTTGAACAACTGAAGAGCATGAATGTGAATAGAAATGCATACATCAGTTATTTGCTGAAAGGAAAGGGATTAGCCCATTTATAATTAGTCCATTCAGCATTTCTGTTCAGCTTTTACATCTATTATGAAAAAAATACTGTATTATATTAACCGTAACCTTATCATGTATATTTAAACTCAACTCCCATAACTCCGTCACTCCAAAAACTCCTTCTACTGTGATGCTTCAAAAATCAACCACAAATCCAAACCCTACAGATAACTTGCGGCACATTCTCTTGTGCTGTGCTGACAAACTTGGTTCATCACTCTTGTGGAAAGTAATACTTTATTGGCCCTTTGTAAAGTCCTTCAACATCATGCAACATCAGATGTTGACATTTGGCAGTTTAAGGGGGAAGGAGTAGAATTCCCTGGCAAGCCAAAACAACAGAAAGAAACACAGTTCTTTAATTGGGCTGGATCATTTAATCCACCAAGGCAATCTACTTACATTTCTGCTGCCAGTAATGCAAGCTTCTTCTGGAGGTTGGCCTTGTATTGGACATATCTGGAAAATACAAAGATAACATCACGAGATAAAACAAACAAACTACACAAAGGACTGACACTGTTGATGTGGATGGATTATACTACGCCAATTCCGGATAGGCTCACCATGTAGATTGTCCCTTGTGACGCAATCTGATCCACCTTTTGAAGCCCTCATTAATATGCAAAAGTTCTCACAATAGTAGCGTAGGTGAAAAGCCCAATGCTCCCTGTTGAACGTTGTCTTTTGTTACTTGTGTTGCAGTCTGATAGGACCACCTCCGGTATTTCTAGTGTATTTATGTACATTTTTTTTTCTCAACACTTTTACATCAACTTTCTTCAGTTTTTTAGTAGACATAATGCCTAAGTCACTGCTCATCTGTACCGTCTACTATCTCCAAACCACCAGAGGACGACACCATAGATATCCAAGCTGTTGCAGTGAGGGAAATTGGCCAGGGTGAGTCGATTCCGCCCTAAGCCCGGGGCTAGCCGGCGGGAGGGCACCCAGCACCAGCCCCTTCTGGGGCTGGCAGCTCTCAGATTTGTGAACCGTCATATCCCAAACCTAGTCTTCGGCCATGATCATCGGCTGCTGTAACCACAGCACCATCGGCGTTTCCAGCAACAAGTATTTAGTCAACCCACTTCATCAGTGGGTTCCTTTCCAGCTAGTGCAAGTTACCAAGCTCAACCATGGACTCACCCAGCTTAGGGTCCTCTGCCGTTCCCCCTTGGGGACCGGTACCGGTTGCATACCCTCAAGCTCCATTCCGTGCTTCAACTTGAGTTTTCCCCACTTGGGCCCTAGTTTTTCCGTCATACTATTTTCCTCCACTATGGGGTTTTCCAGCTACAACTCTGCCAGTGCTCATTCAACAGCCGTCGGCTCCAATAGTTCCCGCCAACACGAGCAGCGTGAATTCGGAGCGCGAGTACCAATGCTCTGCCAATGTAACTCACGTAACTGACGCCATCTTGATCAATTCCGATGACGATGATATGTCCGTCATTTCTGACATCTCTTCAGCTGCTCCATTGCAGAAAAACCTTCTCCGCAACCCACACAAGAAGGATTCAGGTAACCCCATCTCAGATCAAGTCACTTCTTGGTGGCAAGATTTAAGAACACATCAACTCACGCTCGAGGATTACAAGGAGGAATTGTACAGTCCCCTCGACGCCGAGGCATTTTTCGCAGCTACCAGAACAACCAGACGCCATACAAAGGCACCTATAATCCAAATGTTGGAAAATCCTGTGTCTTCAAACATGGATCTTTATCACAGTCATCAAATTCCAGTTCAAAAACTAACTGGTAATTTTAACCATCGCATTAGCACCCCAGCATTTTCTATACCCCTTACTGGATGCCTTCAGTCCTTTGTATCTCACTGGTTGTCCATCACTCATGATCCTTGGGTCATTGATGCAGTTTCTGGTTATACAATTGATTTCTTGTCAGAGCCTAGTCAAGTTTTTTTCACCTTCTACCCCTGCCCAGTCAGACAGTCAAGCTACCATTTTTCGAGCAAGAGATACAGAAAATGCTGAATAAAGGAGCAATCACATCAGAATCTGCAGTTCATGGACAGTTATCTCCTCCTTTTTTTGGTACCTAAGAAAACAGAGGATCTTCTTCCTGTTATGAACCTGTGTCCGTTGAACAAGCATATTGCCTATCAAAACTTCAAGATGGAATACATTTCATCAGTAAAAGATCTTCTATCACTGAAAGATTGCATGACAACCGTTGACTAAAAAGATGCATACTTAATGGTCCCAATCAATCTAAATCATCACAAGTTCCTACATTTTATCTGGAAGGAAGTCATCTACCAAATTACATGCCTCCCTTTTGGCCTCTGCTCTGCACCTCGCGTTTTCACTAAGATTCTGAAACCGGTAGCTTCGACACTGAGAGAACAGGGTATCCGCTGCATTTTACCTAGACGACATCCTTATCTTTGGGTCTTCACATCAGGTATGCCTAGCCAACACACAGCAGACAGGCAGTCTACTTCACAATCTCGGGTTCGTAGTGAACGAGACCATGTCGCAGTTAACACCAACACAGAACATACAATTTCTAGGCTTTGTTTTAGATCCCAAAAGCCTCACCCTCTCCCTAAGTCGAGACAAGATTAACAGAATCATCACACATTGCCAGAATATCCTGACTGCGGAGAAAGTTACAGCTCGAGAACTAACCAGTCTTCTCGGCAGATTATCGGCAAGAATACAGGCAGCATTTTTATCTCCAATTTTTTTATCCAAACCTCCAACAGGAAAAGATCTCTGTCCTTTACAGAAGCAACAACTATGAAACAGAAGTTCCTCTCTCATCACAAGCAAGACAGGAACTACATTTTCAGACATGGATCAGCTGCCTCCAGGCTAGGAAAGGCCGCAAAGTTCACGTGCTTCACGAGCCTTGGAAGAATATCTTGACTGAACCCAACTTCACCGGGGTGATGGCCAGTCCAAAATACTATTACTAGATGGCTCAAAGACATCATGCCACAAGCTGGTATAGACACTGAACACTTTAAAGCACATTCAAGCAGAAGTGCATCCACTTCTGCTGCAGCATCAGCGTGTGTCTCCACCAGGGACATTCTCAAAACAGCCGACTGGTCTTCAGCCACAACATTTGGAAACTTTTACCATGGACAGCCTGAGACTTCTGATTTTAGTCGGGTACTCTTGCGTTGGCATTGTAATGCTTTGAAATCTACAAGGTGAGTCTATTTTTCCCGGCTTCCATTGGTCGATAACGAGACCCACTCGAAGTCATGCCGAGTCATGCTAATGAATATGCTAATATGCGCTTCGTCATTGTTGCCCCAAAATCGGCCAACCTGAAAACCATGCTCGTGAGTTTGGTCAGAAAAAACTCATCGAAATTTTCCTTGGAGATAGTTCAAGGTGTAACACAAGCGTTTGTAACAACAGATAAAGTTGAAATTTGGAATATGCTTATATGATATCAGTGTTCAACTACTTGTGAAATAACAATATGTGGGTATTCCTAGAAACTGAGATAAATACATAGATTTGGAGACATTTTCGAACGATTTCTTCACGACTTTAAGGTCAGCTTTACCAGTAACCAGTATTGACGTTTCGGCATCAATGATGGCGATTTTTTCACTGACATGAAGTTTAGAATTTCTTCTTCTGTTATAATTTAATATTTCAATAATACTGAGCACCTTTTCTGAGAAACACAATGTTCAAAAAGCCATGTTTTTTTGGGTGCATGAATTTCACTGCCCTGTCTGTAGCATCCAAGTACGTATTGGATTAACATTGTCTAACAACAGCGACACTAAGGCCTTCGCAACCACATGGCTGCACGGGCTGAGTCCAAGTACTTTGTCATTGAGTCCTGGGCCAAAAATTCGAGTCCGAGCTTTTCAGGGTCCGAGTGCGGCCCGAGTACGAGTACATAAGTAGTCGAGTACGGGCAGAGTACGAGTACATTGTACACCAAATCAAACATTTATGGAAGTTATGTTACAGCTATTATTTCATTGCATACCCTGTTTATCAAGAAACGTACACATGAATTATGGAGAGTGATAATTTCATTTTGATTCCTTGATTTTTATTAACATATTACAAAGATGTGTTTAAAAATGTGACACAGGTTTAAGTTCTCAATCGTTTACAGGTTCTCCATGTTCTCCAAATGAAACTTGATTTATAAGAAAAAAACCTACGTACATGCCACTTCTGATGAGGCAGACATTTTGGATGTTAGTTTAAATACACGGTGATGACAGCCGGCTGGACTCTCGAAGATCAACAACATGCCGCGGTACGAAGGTGCGAGAACGAGCCGAGTACTTGTTTTTTTTTAGTACTGAAAATTAAGTACAGGCCAAGTACTTACCGGTACTCGAGTTGCACTCGTGTACGAGTATGAGTACTGGTGTGTGCATTAAACATGTTAATTTCAGCAGGTTTATCATGCCATTCTTTCATTTAAAACAGTCCATGACAGCAAATTTCTCCTGACCTCATCATAAATAAACTTTTACCTTTGTCTTATCTTCATGACCTCTTTCTCTTCTTCTTCTTGGAACTTTCTCAAAATGGCTTCCAACTCAGGGATTCGAAGATTCATAAATCCTGCCACCTATCATGAAAGGAAGCAAAAGGTACTACAACATTAATCTTAAGTAAAAACTATACAGGGGACTTCAAACTCCCGAGTCCTATGGGTAAAGGGTAGAAGCATTAGTCAGTTTGAAAATTGAAACAATGAGACGCTTCACCTTCACCTCATGAGCTCCAAATAACACTCACCTGTGTAACCCTTTGGACAACACATTAAAAACTAAATAAAACTCCAAACAACTCATCATCCAAACAACTGTTTTGTTCTGCACGCTCCCTCAATATCAGCATTTTTGATATTGAAAAATCGACCATTTAATAAGGGAATAAATGAGTGCTTGGCCGGTTTTAAACACTCTGTTTAAGACCGGTTGGAGCCTGGATGCTGATAACTACCGAGCCAAAGGTCATTATCAGCATCCAGACTCCAACCGGTCTCAAACATAGTGTTTAATACTGACCAAGCACATATTTATTCCCATTAATAAATACCTTTTCTGTCAAAACTTTTGAAAGCAAAAAGGTATTTACATGTAAGAATGGGAATAAATTGGGAATGTGCTTGGCCGGTATTAACAAGTATGTGTAAAACCGACTAGGGGCCTGGTTGTGGATAGTGGCCCTCAATTTTGGCTTGGGCAATTATCCTGGACCATGTCCAGGTCCCTAGTCGGTTTTCAATGTACTTGTTTCAAACTGGTCAAGCGCATATTTATTCCCTCAAGAAAACCTATCAACCAATTCCCCTGCATTTTAAATGTTTGGCAGGCATATAAGCGGGTATTGCTGATAGAATCTGCAAAAATCTCAACTTGTTAGAAATTCATCAAACATCTTCAAGTATAGAAACGTTGTACTTATTGTGCATCCAAAGTCTCTCTATTGATCAGTTTATAACTCACAATATTGAGAAAGATTATCACAAACATTTAAGGCCCCGTGGATTTATTCCGATTTGCGTGCGCCCCCGTGCGCACGCGTGCGCACGCGTGCGCACGCAGGCAAGCTCGAACAAAGGAGATTTTGAACCCACTGGCCCGCATCGGCACGCATCGGCACGCATTAGCACGGACTTGCACGCAGTGGCACGCAAACGGACTCAGTGCCAGGCGGTACAACATTACAAACAAACCGCAGAAATGCACAATAGACATCGTCTTGGACTTTAGCCATTGTGTCCCTTAATCCGCTCATTAGTTAATTGTAAACACTTGGCAGGGCCAAGCATGACTCATCTACTCTGGTGGTACCAATAATTACACGCGTTCCAAAAAGACAGGAAATTTTAACGAAATGATAAAAGTGCCCAGGAAAGGACAGGAAATGCCCCAAACATTACCGCGTGAGCCGGTACTTTCATTTAAAACACCGTGTAGAATTAAAATCTACTTGAAAAATCGAACTGTCTTTATCATAACTTTATAAATAAAAATGGTACGGACTGGTACACTCGTACCCAGAACTAAGTGCAGACTTTTATTGAAACAGTGGTATCAAAAGAAATTATTAAAAGCTTGCCGCACCTTGCCGCAAAGAAATTTTAAAGGTCGGGGTACAGAAGCGAAATGAGAGAATTTTGTAAACGGCGAGACGCAGCCAGACTGGTCTACAACCGCATGGTATTGTACGCTGATGGAAGTGGTGTCAGACTTACATGTAGTCTGGCTGGCGGTATTTAACAGTAATAACGCGTGCACGCATGTTCCGTGTTGTGTGGAGCGGGATCGGCCATTGCCAGACGTTGTCTGACACGCGGTGGTGGTTTTTATAAACAGGGATAATGCGTGGACACATATCCGTGTGCTGCGTTGTGCTGGGCGGGATCGGAACTATACTTTTGGTAGATTGAGTGGCGGGGTATTCTGCAATTGTGCCAAAAAAAATCAGGGCTGCGTGGAAATCGGGGCGGGAGGTGATAAACACCGGATTAACTAAATGGCCGGAAAGATTCCTATATCTGGTAATCATTTGTCACCCTGTGCACAAACCCTACGGGACTGCAGGTCTGAAAATTTCTAAGTGTTTTCTCAATTCAAAACTTGTCCCTGCAAATTTAGATTTTTTAGGACATATATAGTATCACTTTTTGATGGCTGATAGGTCATTTAAGGGAAAAATTACTGATGGCCAGATATGGGAATCTTTTCATATTTGGCTCTAGAAGTTGTTGGAAATTTCAGCGTAAAGTTTCGTGGAATATGGTGCATCACTTCACTTTTTGGGGACCAAAAGCAAAACTTCACTAATATGCTTATTAATAGCACTAAGTGCCCTAAAAATTTCATATTTTGCCACACAATTTGAAATTCACATATCAATGACTTTATTAAAAAGGTATCATGCACATGTACGATCAATGAAAAGAACAAATATTTCTTCACAAGCCCATAGGAAGATTATAAACATAAATACACATGTATAATAAATAAATACTTGTCACCTAAAAACAAAAGATTATGTGAACAGTGATATTTTAAACGTATGAGCTAGTGGAAAAAAAACAACTTCCTCATCACTATCATGAGTCTTGCAGTGAAACATTCCCCTCATTAAAAAATGTATTAAAAAAAAATCTCCCCAAACAACAATATTTGATAGGCAACTGTAAGGGTTCAGACTATGTATTATTATAACAATTTATTATTATTATCAGCAATGCCAGAGTGAAAAATACAATGTACATAAATCAAGGCTGCATACGAAAACAGTTGTTGACAAACACATATTTTCAAAGAGAAAGTTTTCTTTTTATCTTGACGAAAGTGAATCACTAGAATAGAAATACAATGTACACTGGGCGAGAGGTCAATAAAATTTACACAAAGTTAAAGCTGGAATGTAAATGGTATACTGGAATGACTTCCACTGGCTATTATTTTCAGATACTGCGGGCATTACATATTCTTTGCATTATTTCTGAAGTTAACTGTTTTATCTATTTAATTTAAGTCAAACGTAGCTTCTGGCTGGCTTTCCTACATTTCGCATTGACTGCATACCTGATATCCTTTGTCATCGTACCTACTGTGCATCCTGGAAATTCTCTCTCGGCCTGCATCACTATTGCCTTAAACTTGTGGTTACTGCGCAGAGACTGTTTTTCAACAGAAACACCCCCTGATAGCACTGACCCCCCAAAGTAGTTGAAGTTTGACAGTTCTTCCAGAGTAAATGCCTTTGGCAGAAGCCCCACTACAATTTCTTTTCCACATGTTGCCTTGTCGTACACAGACTCATAGTCTTTCCTAGGAAGAGTCAGAGTTGAGCCACCGTCTGTGGAGCCAATGACGACATTGTCCGTGTGGTCATCATTGTGGACATAATGTGGTCCATGTCCTCCTTGTGGAACAGTTGGCTGTGGTGGTTGACGTGGCTGAAGTGGTTGCCGTAGTTGCAGAGGTTGGCGCTGTGGTCCTTGTCTCGGCTGCTGAGGTCTCTCCTCTGGCTGCTGGTTGGGCCTCTCTGCAGGCTGCTGCTGAGGTCTTTGTTCTTCGTGCTGCTGGTTAGGCCGTTCTTCCTGCTGCTGTTGGGGCAACTCATCTGGCTGCTGTTGGGGCCTCCCTCTCGCCTGCTGCTCTTGATGCTCGTGATATCTGGCAGGCTGTGGCTCATCGTTTTCAGTTGGCAGAGAGAATGCAGGTGGCCCTGTGCTGACAGTTCCAAGTATTGCTGACATGCCACGCACCATAGTGAACATGGTGGTGACAGAGGTCAGCAATATCTTCATCTCCCGTCTTGACTCGGCCACCTCTTGTTTGGTCTGGACTACTTCTTGTTTTGTCTCTACCAGTTCCTTCTTGACTGCATGAAGAAGGCGAACGAGATCACCATGAGACATGAATGATTCATCGTCAACAGAAGCGGACTGATTCACTGCTGGCGATGGGGTGCTGAAGTGCAGAGGCCGACATGCTGAAGATGATGGCAGACTATCATCTGGTGTAGCAGAAACATCTTCCATATGGACATCAGTGTCAGCTTGGCCAACGGCTCGTCTTGTCACTAGTTGTTGCAGAGGCACATCATCAGAATCAGAATCTGACCCACTGTCTGGTAGCTGAACTTGCTGAAGATGAGAACGGCGGGCTAAAAAAAAAAAGAAAACAGAACAATGTTAACCCCATTGTATCAATTTGTAATTTGTACTCAAGGGACGTGCCATTTTTTTTCTAAATCTACAATTCCCGTTTATTTTTTTTTCCACAAATAACATTTCTCAATGGAATAATCTGTTGCAAATTTCTCCAAAGATTTCATTCAGCAAAGTCTTCAGACTCAATTCAAATTTTAAAGGAGACATTTCGTCAATATTTTGGACATGAGCTAAACACTAGACTGATACATGTCCAACGATGGTCCAACTATTTGAAAAGACTGACCTCCTCATTCAGTATGTGTCATTTTAGTCTGGTGGTTGACTATCCAGAAATGTGTAGTAAAATAGAGACCAGTTCCCGGTTCGTGCCACATGTTTCTTAAATTCTTTTTTGGCATGGTTGATTGATCCAATACAGAAGCAGTTTTGGACTGGTTGTTAATACTAGGTGCCAGTCTATTTTCATGATGTGGAAAAATCGAACTGTCTTTATCATAACTTTATAAATAAAAATGGTACGGACTGAAAAATAAACCATGCTCTTTCGATCCACCAAAACGTACAATAAATAGATGCATTTCTATTCAAAGGACTGCAAACTCTTTACTTACTGTGAATGTGAACAATGATGGCTTTAAACCGCTTTCCTGCAACATCAACATCAGCCGTCATGTTTACACGCAGTTCATCCGTTGACTTGACGCGGTTTCTTGCAACTCTCTCGGATGTACCAGCTTTCTCTTCGGGTTCAAGCCAAGTCACAAGAACAGAAGCCATATTGCTAGTCAATGTACAATTAACTTTGATATGCTATGCTAGTATGCATCAAACAGAATAGTCATGGAAGTGAAGAAGTCTTGTCTCGAGCAGAACTGCCGAACAGAATGAAGTGGAGAGTAGAACTGTGAACAATGACTGCGCAT